TTTTGCCAAACAAGTGCGAGCCTATCGTTTCCAAAGCCAATGGAAGGCCATCGGCATACCACACTGCACGCTTTATGACTTCCTTGTAACATGGATCAACTTCTTTGTTCTTGAAAGCATTCCACTTATACAATTCAAGGGCTTCCATATGGTTAATTTCACCAACCATGTACTGTTTTTGAACTCCATGAACATCTAACAAATGCTTATCCCTTGTTGTTATGATGACGATGCTACCAGGGCCAAACCAATCAAGTCCTCCAACAGTTGCTTGCAATTGTTCTTTTTTGCTAATATCATCAAGCACAAGGAGGACTTTTTTCCCACAAAGTCTGTGTTGTAGTATTGGAATTCCTCGATGCACATCTCCTAACTTGATATTTCTTTCCCCCACCAACTCAGACAGCATTGTCTCTTGGATATGCACCAGACCTTTTTCCCTGACATTAGCAAGAAATTGCGAAGCTTCAAATTGATCTTCCATCAAGTTGTACATCGCACGTGCAAGAGTTGATTTTCCTATTCCTCCCATTCCATGAATCCCAAGCATGGTCACTTTCTTATCAAACTCACCACCCATGAGTTCTTGTATCTGTTGCATCCGATCTTTCAAACCAACAGGATACTCAGCAATATGTAAGGGAGACCGCTTAAAACTATCGGAGATCTCTTTTATGATCTTTTTCACTATATTAGACTCATACTTTTCACTGCCATTCATACAAGAGCAATCAAATCACTGTCACATTGGCAAATCAGAGAGACTATTGCTATATACTGATAATTTGTAACAGAGATGACTTACCCAGATTTGAAATGCAAACCAGACAAATTAGCAGCATCATACAAAGCCCGCCTCCATTGTTGAAGCTTCTGAATGTCATCTTTGAATCTTTCACCAAGCTTTGCAAATGCTTCTTGGTAACTCCCTGTTTGATTTCGCACTTGTGATGGCTCTACGTCATAAAACACTGGAAAAATCAGCATGTTCTGTTTTGTTCGGCACTCAATGATATGGAGAAGTTCGTCCAAACAAAATGTTGAGAAAGCATAGTTTTGGGAGAAAACAATGATGGATATCCTGGATTCTTGGATTGCCTTGCGAAGAGAAGGTGTGATCTCTTCTCCCTTTCTGAGAGCTTCATCATCGATGAAGGTCAAGATTCCCCTTTCACTCAAAGCACTGTACAGATTACCAGTGAAACCAAAACGGGTATCATCTCCACAAAAACTAAGAAAAACATCGTAACGGTATTTTGACACAATAGAAGTAGAAGAAGATGCTTGGTTTTGAGCCATTATAGCGAAACTCGCAAAATGCTTTAACTTTTGTTTCCTGCCTTCAATTGATAATATAAGGTTTTTTTTCAAAAGCCAAAGTGTCCACATGTCAAATTAAACATCACAACTAATTTATTTTCATTCAAGCAATAATCACATATTTAATTGATATTATTATAATTTATTAGCCTTTTATACCCAAAAAAGTTTTATTATTTTTAAAGACCTTTACTCACACAAGATGCAATATTTACACATAAAAAATTCTTATCAACAATTTGATCACACTCTAACAATCTTAATAAAATAAAGATTAATCTTCTGTCTTTTTAAACTTCATATACAAGTTCCACAGTTACATGGGCAAATCTTATTAGTGATGAATTTATTCTATTTAAGATTATAGCAAGACATAATTATATCACTTTTTACAATACTAACATACTATCAATCAAATAAAAGATGAAGTTAAAAATTATAAAGAAAAGATTAATAATATTTTTAAAAAAGATAATATTTCTTATAAAATAAAATTTCAATAATATAAAATAGTATAATTTTTAATCCTTATATATCATCGGTTTTACAAAATCAGCAAATTTTAATTTCATTTGCCTTATATTTTATCTTTTAAAAACTATTTCTAATATTTATTATTTTGTCATTGACTATTCATATATTTAATACAATTAAATACAATTAATGCCTGTGGTACATTAAGTATACTTTAATTTTTTTTTTCTCCGAACCACCAACTCAGCAACGTAATTTATAAAAAGAATAGTATTTATAAATTTTATGGAGCAGCAGATAAAACTAAAACCAAAGTTTATTTAGTTTACAAGAATTAAATATTTCACAATTTTAGAGAAACAGAAAGAATTACTACCAAAAACCAAAACCAAAAACACATGAAAGTAAAAGTAAAATAAAAATAAAAAATTATCTTAAAAAGGTTTAATTTATTTTTGTGTTTCCCATTCTCTCCTCCATGACCACCCTATACAAAAAAAAAAGAGAAGAAAAGAAAGTGGGCCTAAAACTCAAGGATTGGTCCCCTCTGTGGCATACCCTATCAAGTAAGACTTTTGGGATGTGTTTGGCAATGTCGGCGGTGTGACTTTCACAGTGTGGCTTTCGGTTGCTATCTAAGGTCACTTCCCACTTTTGGCATTTTGGTGAATGCGCCACAAAAAATGGTATGTAAACATATATTATTCAAAACCCTTAATTATTTAGTCGGCAAATGGTTCTTGGCTACGTTTGGCTCTTTTCTTATCATGTAAGTGCTGGCTAGGATCAATTATTGCATCAGAAACTCCTTGACTATGCATACACTGTTAGAATATTGTGTATGTTTTTGTGGTAAGTAGATAAACTTGTGCTTGTGAAGAGTTTGAATATGATAAATGTCCCTTTTTTTTTTTTTTTTGTCATGTTTGTTTCCTTGAAGGTGAACTCACAAGCTTTTTGTTTATTTCGTTGAGAAAGATGAAAATTGTTTATTTGACAACAAAATTTTGCACCTGACACAATTTCATTGATTGATTTTTAAAAGGTTTGAAAAAAGTTTTTTTAGGGATATATATGGAAAGAAAATTTAGAATGTCCCTTTTATTTCAGATTTCTTCTTTTTTTTCTTTGTTGGTCACTCTCTCGTCTTCTTCCTTTTTGTATTTGCTCGTCACTCTCTATCGACCATTAAACCGTGCTCTCAGTCCATCATTTGAGTTGGACTTTTCTTTCTTTGCAGTCGCTGTATCTCCACCATTGTCCGCACATTTCTCTCTTTGGACGTCGCTCTCGCTCCATTTGTTGCAGGTCTCCATTTCATTCTCGCTCCATCGCATTGTGGTTGGCGTTATTTCTCCCAAGGTTTCGACTTTTTGCTTCTTAAAGCTTTTTCAAAGGCCATTGTATTCGATTACAAGGGACAAAATGACCTGTAATTGGACAAACCAACAATTAGCCCCTAGTAATCGATTGCAGGGACCCTATAATCGGTTACTAAAGCATAACTTGGACAAAAATGATCATAGACTTCACCTATCTTGGTTCAAAAACATATATGGGCTTTGACCTTTGTTGACTATTTTAATCATAACTTTTTCCACAGACCTCCAAATGATGTGATTCTTTTTTTATTAGAAAATAGACTCAAAAAGCTTTCCAATGACTACAAATTTGTAATTTTTGGACATCTGAGTAGGTACAGTTAATTCCTTAAAGTTAAAGTTTTGTATATTCCCGTCAACTCTGACCTTTGCTGGTTGTTTTACTCTTAACTTTCTCCACCGAACTCCAAATGAGTTGATTCTTGTTTTGTTGGAATCTAGACTCAAAGAGCTTTCTAATGACTACTAATTTATAATTTTTGGACATATGAGTAGGTACAGTTAATTCCTTAAAGCTAACGTTTTAAATATTCCTATCACCTCTGACCTTTGCTGTTTGTTTTGCTTTAAACTTTCTCCACCGAACTTCAAATGTGTTGATTCTTATTTTATTAGAAAATAGACTCAAAAAGATTTCCATTGAATACTAATTTGTAATTTTTGGAAATTTGAGTAGGTACAGTTAATTCCTTAAAGTTAACGTTTTATATATTCCTACCAACTCTGACCTTAGCTGATTGTTTTGCTTTTAACTTTCTCCATAGAACTTCAAATGAATCGATTCTTGTTTTGTTGGAATCTAGACTCAAAGATATTTCAAATGATTACTAACTTATAATTTTTAGACCATTGTACTAGGTGCACTTAATTTCACAAAAACAACATTTTTCTAAGCTTCCTAAATGGTCATAGACTTCACCTACCTTGGTTCAAACACCTATACGGACTATTTTGTCTACAAATGAGTGTAGAAAACTTTGTTTTGATATAATTGATACCATCAAAGATAAGCAACATGAGGCATCCATGAAAAATTGGAAAAAATCACCTATAGGGACATAAAAATGACCTTGGGGAGTCAAGTTCTCCCAACTGGGGATTAACGTGTAACTTTTTGTACAAATCAACAATCAACCCTTGTAATCGATTACCAACGGCTGATTGCGGATTTGTACGAAAAGTTACACGTTACTCCCTAGTTGGGAGAACTTAACTCCCCAAGGTCATTTTTGTGTCACTATGGGTGATTTTTTTATTTTTTTGCATGGATGACTCACGTTGATCGTCATTGATGTTGTCAAGCGCATCAAAAAATAGTTTACTCCACTTAATTGAGGATGAAACATATGTTACTCATCATTGATGGTGTCGAGTGTATCAAAACATAGTTTGCCCACTTAATTGTGGAGGAAAAAACTCCTATAGGTGTTTGAACCAAGGTACTTCAAGTCCATGACCATTTTTGTCTAACTCATGCCCTGATAATCTTGTAATCGACTACAAGGCATGAGTTGGGCAAAGATGGTCATGGACTTCACATACATTGGTTGAAACCCCCTATATGGATTGTTTCGTCCACAATTAAGTGGGGCAAATTGTGTTTTGATACACTTGACACCATCAATGATGAGCAACATGAGACATCCATGCAAAAAAAGGAAAAAATCAGCCAGAGTAACACAAAGATGACCTAGGGGAGTCAAGTTCTCCTAGCTCGGGAGTAATGTGTAACTTTTCGTACAGATCAACAATTAACCCCCGGTAATCGATTACAGGCCCTGTAATCGATTACCGGGGTTTAATTGCTGATCTGTACGAAAAGTTACACGTTATTCCCCAGCCAGGAGAACTTGACTCCCCAAGGTCATTTTTGTGTCTTGTCGATGATTTTTCTATTTTTTTGCATGGATGCCTCACATTGCTCATCATTGATGGTGTAAAATGTATCAAAACACAGTTTGCCCCACTCAATTGAGGATGAAACATATGTTACTCATCATTGATGGTGTCAAGTGTATCAAAACATAGTTTGTCCCACTTAATTGTGGAGGAAAAAACTCCTATAAGTGTTTGAACCAAGGTACTTCAAGTCCATGACCATTTTTGTCTAACTCATGCCCTGATAATCTTGTAATCGATTACAAGGCATGAGTTGGGCGAAGATGGTCATGGACTTCACACACCTTGGTTTTTAACGATGAGGCGGCCATAGCGGTGACAGTGGCGGTGGCCGCAGCGGTGACAGTAGCGGTGACAGTAGCAGTGGTGGCCGTAGTGTTGACATTGGCGGTGGTCGTGCTGCAACTTCAAGTGCCTACCTATTCTGTCATTTTTTACTTTTTAAAATATTTGATAGTGCAACGTGCCACGTATTCATCAAATTTCACAGCTCAGTCAGGTTTGGCCACGGTGGCATTTGCACCATTAGATTTTTAACGGCGTGAGCGAAAAGGACCAGATTGAACATTTTTTAACAAATTATTGGACCTTATTGAAATTTTTTAAAAGGTGAGACCATTTTGAACCAAACCCATAAAAGTAGGGGCCAAATGATGTATTAAACCCACCTATTATTTACAAATTGGCATGAATTATTTTTGGGTTAAATATGCTTTTAGTCCCTCAACTATCAAGCGATTCTATTTTTTGTCCTTTTTTCAAATTTTGGTACACTTTGATCATTGTCTGTTGATGGTTCGGCAAGTGTACCGAATCGTACAAGTAATAAACCGGTAAGTCCGGATATCGTTTCCCAAGAGATTTGTTTGGTTTGCTAATCGTGAAAGTTTACTAATTTAGCGTCAAATATGATTATCAAATGTATTATTCTACACAATACAGATAAAAATATAGATATACAAAGTGGTAAAAACAGTCGAGTTTAGGTTCATTGGGGTTGATTTTCATGTTCAAAACTCAGTATTCTTTACTATCAAATACAATTCCTCAAGAATCATTCATCAACATCATAAGTAGACAAGTCTCTAATTCCTCGGATGACAAGCTCTAAATCTTTTAACAGAAATTCTAATCCCTTAGAATTCAGATTTGCATTAAGACCGATGTTATTGATGCCCAAAAGTCCTCAATCTATGTCTACAATTAAGTTCTACCGGTTGTTCTACCTATGTC